GAAAGATTAAAAATTATGTGTACAAGATGATGAACAAGACATCCAGAATGAAACACTCAGTTAAAACACAGGCAACTCCGATGCCGATTCAAAGATGATTTGATTGCTTAGAAGCACTTTTGGTATCTGGAGGATACAAGCCGGGTCTCAGTAAAACTACTCTGTATGAAATCAGATTATAAACAAAGGAAATTTACAACACCAATCAACGAGATCTGTAACCAAACTCAATAACTGTTCACCGACAATTTACTGGACCAACGTCCAAACTCTGAGTAGAACATTCCTTAATTACAAATTACACAAAGACGTATAAATAGATAAAAACAATGTCAATAGCATCAATTTCTCTCTTAGATTGACTTAATGTTTACAGATTTTCATTTTTCAGTCATACACTCAGCTGTATGGTTATGCATGGACACCGTGTTAAATATATTACAATATTATCATATATTATTACATATAAAATTACCACATCAAAATATGAAAACAACACAAACGTACACCTTACAAATATCAATTAAAGGTTAAATTACTGACAAAATGATATTCTATAGTACGAGTTTTTTTGCTATCAGACACAGTAAAAATGTAAAATTTGAAATTACATATCTTGTAACATGCAAGAGGCCTATGTTACACACGCCAAAAATAAAACTCAGGTTTCAATACAATGCTTCACTTAAAAGCGTGGGGGGGAAAGTCTGTCTCCAAGGCCCTTTCTGTGAGTGAATTGGTGGTTTCAAAATCTAAAATGGGATCACCATCCTTCAGCATCATTCGTGAGATCGGTAAAGTATCCGTACGCTGATGCATAATGAAGATGTGGACAGAGCTCTGTTTATCTACCCATCATGCAGCGCTGCCTGCACCGACTCCTGATCGCGACTCTTGGCGTCGCACCATTAACTGGAAAGTCAAAAATCAACAGTGCGCTGCAGAAAAATCCTTTCTCAGCACTGTATGCAGTTATCTCCGCCAGAGCGTGGGATTGACACTTCACACACACATTTCCCTCCATGGACACGCATACAAAAAAATGCCGCTTGGCCACCAGGGCCGGAGGTTGTCGTTTGACCCCGACGCTCTGACAGACGGGTTCCCTCAGGCGCTCCTGGTGCAGCAGCGTGTCATTCGTGTCATATGTCACCAATTGGCTTTTGGTGAATGTTTACCAGCTGAAATACGGCATCTCATGACACACTGAAGAATGTGTTTAGTCTTTTGCAGCATTGTTCTTTGTGTGTGTGTGAAGTGTGCGATAAATCCTTCCCCAGTCCAGCGATCCATCCCTCTGATGAAGATGATCAAAGATGCAAAGGACACCCTCCCCTCACTACCACACACACACAACTTGGCTGTGATTTGGAAACTGTCAGTCTTTTTGTGTCTGCTCAGCTCTTTTGGGTTTTTTTTTTGCGTCCACGACGAGGGTGACTCATAGTGATGATTCCTCTCCGAAGAGAAGGACCTCACAGTGATCACGACGCCGCACGCCGCATCGCACCGACCACTAATTCACTCACCGAGGAGGGCGTCCTGTAAATCACCCGTCCCAGTGGTCCGATAGCTGTTGCTGCAGAGAGCGAGGCTGCAGCCGGTGGCAGCTCAAGGACCAGCTGATGGACTCTCGCACACTCAGCAAAAAAATAACTAAAAAACACCCACTGGGACTGTCTTTATGGTTGAACTTTGTGCACGGATGGATTACCTGTCAGAGAAAAGCTCACTTTGGTATGTGGGCTGACAGTATCACAGTGAGGACTAACTGCCCGCTAAGCTCTTCTTCAATATGGAGCGCTCACAGTGAGAGACAAAAAAAGTGAAGTGAGCAGCTGTGTAGATATCTATCTATCTATCTTACCCTGACCAATCTCACTCCTCATTCTGAAACCAATGCAACCAACGAAGGCAACAAGAACCGTCCAATCAGAGGCAGAGTCGGCCAGGTCTTGCCTTTGCCGCATAGAGTGCTGCAGGGATGACGTATTTCTGTAGGCTAACCCAAAAGTTAGCATTGCTGACATTAGGCATTAGGATTCTCCCATTGGAGTGAAAAGTTCTTCACAGTAACTAAGGTCAGATCATGGTTTATGTTCACATATAACGTAGCAACATAAGTGTAAACTCAACACGAACAGCAGCCTCCTGTGTGAAAGTCCTGTGTTAGTTTGACCTCCGTGTGGACTTTCTCGCTCTCTCTAGTTGTTAGTATACCGTGCAAATTCGATGGTGGCAGAGCTGCCATGCATCGGTAGCATCTTGGGGGTTCAGTGTCTTCCTCAAGGAAAATTCAACAAGCGGACGAGAACATTACACAGAAAGTTGATGGGAATGTCATTTGTTTCAGGTATTAGGTTATAAAATAATGGACAAATTAAAAGATTTGACCTGGGAGAGAAGTCAGGGGATCACCAATGTTTTTATGAATCATCCTCTGGACACCATGGGATCCAGAGGATTTATGCATCCATTCAAATCACAGCAATCCTTCCAATATACTTCAGGATTGACCAAAGCAGCAGACTGAACAGCGCTGCCTTCACCAGAGCCTCGATGCATGCACGGCTGACTGAAAATTCAACATCTCTGTCCAAACTTTTCTGGATGATCTAGTTTTCACAAGAACTACTTTCCACCAAGGAAACAGTCCCTTTGAAAGCTGTTCAACGATCATCACAGTGGTGCTACAACAGTACTTTTTCTTTGTTACACACACACTTAACACTGCCTGCAGACCTTCATGCTTTTCAATCATCCACATCTGTGTAATACGTACTTGTGTTGAAATGGTGGGATGTATGTTTATGTGGCCGGCTTGTTTCTACTGGAGTGACAGACTGAAGTTTGGTGCTCAACCTTTTGTCTTTGAGAGTTTGTGGTTCTACCAGGTTTGTGGCACTCACCCAAGTCCCACCACAGGAAAGCCAGCTATTCAGCACCAGGAGGAGTGTCATCGCGGAGGTTTCTAACAAATGACACCCTTCACTTGCGGCTTTTTGGCCCGGGAGTGTGTTGTTGGCCGGGGTTAAGGGGGGGAAACGGCTATGAGGGTTGAAGAAAAGCTACTCAAAGCAAAGTGACACCTAGCTGTCTCAATATTCAGCGGCGTCTCTCTACCGAGACAGAAGACGGAGCACTCGTTGTCAGCGCCAAAATAAAAAAGTACTGTGCATACATCAGGGGACTAATATATGATAAGCTGTGTCCTTCTGGGCAACACAGCTCAGGCTGCATTTGATAAAGGAGAGTGCCTCTGATCAGATTTTTCATTTTTGTGCGGCAGCCATTTATGATGTATATACAAGACTCCATAACAAATCCCCTCTGGCCAGATCATCATCCTTCAAATGACTACAACAACGCTACACGGTTGTTGCTTGTTGTTGGTGATCCTTGCACTACTGTTAGTTTATTTAGTTTACCTAGTTGTTCATTTAATACCATTCTAATTCATTGTTTAAACTGTGCATTTTTTGCATTTTTATTTTTTATTCTATTTTTTATTCTATTTCTTCAAATTCAATATCTGCTCTGTTATTTTATTGTACTGTATATGTTGTGCGTAATATATTATATTATATGTTACTCTCTAAAATGCTGCTGCTACATACTGATTTCCACTAAAGTTTATATCTATCTATCTAGTACATTATAGTGTAGGATGATTGTATTGTGAAGGACACACTGCTACTACATATATGAAGTAATATTGCAGGAAGTTTGCTCAATAATAATGTGTGGGTGGCTCTTAAAAAGAGTTGTTTTGGATGTGCTTGGGCATTACACGGTGCCTTGCCATGGAACCATTCCCTCAGCAGAGAAGTAGGATGTGAAGGCCTCCCTAACCCTGATGGCCTCTCTTGCTAAGTTGTTGGCAGCAATTCTTCCCAGATCTGGCAGTGGCTCCACCTCTCCAACCGGTATGCTCACTGCCGTTGTTTGGGTGGTTTTCCACAGGAAGTTATGCAGAACACATGTAGCCTTCACACACTTCTCTGCAACTTCTGGGTGGACCTCAATGGCTCGCCTGTACATCCTCCACTGAGAAGAAAGGATCCCAAAGGCATTCTCCACAACCAACCGAGCTCGGGAGAGACGGTAACAGAAGAGCCGGCGCTCCCTTGGAAGGATGCGGCCGGGGAATGGCCTCATGAGATTTTTTCTCAGTGTAAAGGCCTCGTCAGCAACAAAGACGTGTGGCTGAAGTCATTGGTGGTCAGCTCCTGGTAGTGGCAGGTCAGCAGGCAGTTGGAGAGTGCCAGACGTAGGAGCTTGACCAAAAGCTGAGTTGGCCAGACTCCCACCATCGATGTTGATGGGGAATGAAGAAAAGAAAAAAACACATACTAATGTTTGACGGAAGTGATTCAGGGGATTGTTCAACATTGTGCAGTTAAATTTAAAGATCGCTGTCCAAGGTGCTGATGCTGAGACCTCCAAGGGTTTTGCACACTGATGGCTCAGCTGTTATTGAGCCACTGTCCCTCTCTGGGTAACACACTGGCATTGTTTTCTTATAGGTCATTTACAGTGTGTGCATTTATCAGGCTGTGACTCTCTGCCAAGTTCCAACAATTTGTGGTCTCTTGAATTTTCGTCCGTGTGACCAAAAGCTCCAGACAAAAGAAGGAAAACAAGCCTCATGAAGATGTAAACAGTTTTCCTCTTATTGTCTCTTCAAGCACTGGTTATCTTTCTAATATAAACCATCGTGGGTCTGAGGTCCTTTGCATATTTGGATTGTTAAATGGTCTCTGTGCAGCTGCACTATACTTTACAGCCAGACTATTACTATTTATTTTGTCTCAGATAACTCGGGCGGAGATGATACGCCCTTCTCTTATCATTGTTTCAAATCTATAACACAGAACTTGGCCGGCCCACCGCCCATCCAATCACATGCTTTTGGGAGGGGAGCAGGGTGGCTTTAAAAGTTGCATCTGTTGTCTGAGAGCAGACCACTGAGCAGCACAGGACCATCTAGAGCCGGCAGAATGGTCGAATGGACAGACTTCGAGCGGCCACCATCCAGGACATCTTCTCCAAGATGGACTATGAGGTGGTGGGTCCTGCAGCTCTTTCCAGGTGAGTCTAAACTCTGCATTAACAAGGTGTGCTTGAGACAAAATCCTTGACTATATGATAGGATCAGGATTTCATTCTGTCATTGTGCACAATGTGTTTTAGATAATCACAAATGTTCATGTTTTTATGACATTTGATCTCCTCATCTAACTCTGTAACATGTTGTTTCCTCAGGTGTCTGGTCGTCTCAGAGGTATTTCGGTAACTTTGAAAACCTCTACAACACCTCTGCAATCATGGGAAATCCGCTGGTTGCAAAACACGGAACGACTTTCCTCCACGGTCTGGACCGGGGTGTGAAGAACATGGACAACATGAAGGAAACCTACGCCGAGCTGAGCGTGCTGCACACCCCGAGAAACTGCACGTGGACCCCGACAATTTCAAGGTAAAGTTGTGGAACTAACAAAGGCTGATAATCTGGTCCAACAATTACTGAAAAGAAGACCAACCTTTCATGTCGTTGATGTTTCTGATGCTTGTTGTGTTGCAGCTCATTTCCGACTGTCTGCCCGTTGTGGTTGCTGCTTGGTTGGGTAAAGACTTCACTGGTGAAGTTCAGGCAGCTTCCAGAAGTTCCTGGCCGTGGTGGTGTCCTCCCTGGGAAGACAGTACCATTAGAGAGCTGCAACACCTTCACATGCTGATCATGAAAAGCTTTGTTTCTTTTGTCTCAAAAGCAAATAAAACAATAAGCAAATCCAATATGAATAAAAAAATCATCAACAAAGCAGCAGAGGCCGAGATATTTTAACTTTTAGTCCCGGTTTAAGCTCTGAAAACACTGGATCCCACATTTCCCACAATGCATTTTGATAATATCTTTTCATTAGAGTCTCCCTGCACTGGTAAGTCTTTCAAACTCCAGTTGTAACACAGACTTTCTATTGTGAATGTGAAGTCTGCAGGCCCTCAGCTGCATGACCCCCATAAACTAAACACAATGATGTCATCGGGGATATCGCTCACGATTGACAAAGATCCTGAAGAGCCACAGAAGACGCGATTCAACTGTTGAATAGGCCGAGTAGTAACATGGCAGTACATGAACTCAATTGTCTATTCATGTGTTTTTGAGTAGTGCTTGTTTGTAATAATGTTTTTTAAACTCACAGAAATGTGCCATCAGGTTTCCTGTTGAAGGAGAATCCGGATCAAGATTAAATACAAGCTAAACAACGGACATCATAAGCACAATCTTTTGCTCAACTGTTTTCCAAAACTTGGGTCGAAAAAAAGTTTACTTTTAAAACTCTTTTTGTTACTGTCTGCATAATGAAGAGGGTCATCTTTGGAACTCAGAGGATTAAGGAAAGAACCAGAAGACGTCTCGTGCTCAGTTGTTCCATAAAATCTCTTTAAGTGTGCAGGAGGCCAGTGCTGGGTTCTGCTTATTATCCTTATGAGGGCAACAAAGACCTCCTTTTTACTGCCAAATGTGTGCCTCATCAGCATGTTTGTTTGCTCAGCACCCTGACCCTAAGACTCATTGAATTTAGCTATACGTGTTCAAAATGAGCTTGAAATCAAATTTAGCGTTTACATTAATGCATGAGTGATAATAATGTTATAAACAGTCACAAGGGACATTTTTCTTTGTATATATTTTACTGATTATACTTAAATATCTTATACTTAGGTATTTTTAGTTGCAACAGAGTATTTTTTACAGTGTGGTAGCCTGTTGGTACTGTATGAAAGGATGTGAATACTGGGCCAGGGCTACTAATTTGAGCTAATTAAGTGAAATTATGCATCTCACAGCTGCCTTCCAGTATTACTTTTTCTTATTACTAATTAAAGAAGATGAGCATTTGGTCCCACGGCAGGTTGGGGCTGTGACATTCATAGCGTTGCGTTATTATAAATCATAATAAACAGTATTTTTCGCGAACGAAATTGTCAGACGGTCCCTTAACCGAGCAAGGCTAAGTAGTTAATAAATAAATTAATACAATAAAATAAACACAATTACGTCATTGCGGATATCGCTCACGATTAACAAAGATCCTTTTGACATTTATAACGTTGCTTTATTATAAATCATAATAAACAGTAATTTCTTTTTTTCCTCAAAACGAGATTGTCAGATAGTCCCTAACTCGAGCAAGGCTAAAGTAGTCGATGCTGGCTCTCGCGAGCAGCAGCAGCAGCAGTCTGCAGTCAGCCGCCGGAGCTGTAACGCTATGTGGCTCTGAGAGAGACGGAGAAAACTGTTTTTTTGCACCGCAGCAGGTTAATGACGGGACGGGGCTTTTGGACATGAGGACGCCCGCTGCAGTGACTTCTTGCAAAAGGGAGGACCGGGAATCCTGACTGGGATCGTGTCGTTCTTTCACCGAGCAAATGAGAAAAGGTGGTGATGCAGAGACCGCGTCTGTCAGTGGACAACCAGCTAGCTAGCTAGGTAGCTAGCTAGCGTTAGCAACCTAGCAAATAGCTAGCACTTATTTATCCACATAAAATTAAGGCTAAGTCTTTACCACCCACATGTTAGCTAAAATAAAAATATATCTCATTTTTATTCCACATTTCTTTCCTCCGCATTGCTTTTTGTCAGTTTATTTTATTGAATTTTTTAATTTTTTAATATTTTACTGCTAGCCACAACGTTAGCTGCTTGTTAGCCACATAGCATTTCTGCGTATCGAGCTAAATAATCACCTCACAACAGACTGGCTCTGTGAGGAGGATGAACTTGGTATTCTGTGTGGAGACATCGGGACATCGTAGCTCCAGACAGACCCGATGGAAAACTACCAGATAAAAAAAATAATT